AAATCAATCAATCAAAAATTTTGGAGATGTGAATCCTGTGAACGAAACCATCCCAGGTATTCATGCCCTCACAGACGAACGAAGTGTTTTATATGCGGTAAAACGGGGCACATTCTGTCTGTCTGTAAGTCCAAGAAAGTGTGTCACATAACTTCTGACCCAAATAATGACGTGAAGACACTGTCTGAAGATACTTCTAATTTTTCTCTATCTGTTTTGTCTCAAAATTCGTCGCATGTTTTTAAAACGATGATATCCGCATCTGGTAAAAAGCATGACTTTATTGATGATACAAGGTTTAACGGTGATACTACTGATAGGGAGGCACGCGAGTAGTATGTGTTGTTCGAAGAATTTTGCTTTGCGTCGACTGAAAAAGGGAATTCTGTTGCGGAATTCGTGGGGCCACTTTGTAAAATTTGCTTGGTTTTGACCGACGAATGAGTGGAGGCAACGAATCTCTAGGAAGACTCGTTCGGGAGAAGATCTATGTCCAGTTTTTGTAACTAAGATGCAGATTAGAGTTTTGCTTCCTTGTTCAGTGGTCTGTAACCGGTCAGTTGGCATTTCCGAATAAATAACTCCGCGGCGAAAGCCTTCTTCCTTTCATTTGATGCCGTGACCAGGATAAGGATCATGATTTCATGGCCGCAACCCCTTGAGGATGGAAATATTCGGACCTTCCTGTGGGACTTTGAGGAAGTTGCGGAGGCTGCCGGGCTGGAGACCGACCGGGGTAAGTTGGCAGCGCTGAAGATCCTCCTGAGGGGCCGGGCGAAGGCGGCCCTGGATGCGGCCAGAAGAGGCCCTCAGAATATAGACTGAACGCCGCGAAGAAAGAGGCGGCCCTGGATGCGGCCAGAAGAGGCCCTCGGAAGATGGACTGGGCCGCCGCGAAGGAAGTCCTTGCAGCGGAGTTCGACACGCCGGGGAGGCTATGAGGCGGTTCAAGACGGCCAGAGTGGCACCCGGATCTGACCCGAGCGTGTTCTTCGCCGGTCTGCAGCAGTTGTTGGATCGCGCTTTGCCGGAGCTGGACGGAATGTTGAGCCACCAATTGCTGTCCGACCAGTTCGTCGAAGATGTGCAGCCGGCGCTTGGTGCCCAGTTGAAGTTAGCACGAGCACCTGGCCAGTTGAGTGTGGAAGAGCTGATGCGTCTGGCCAGGGAACTGCCCGAGGCACCATTGGCAACGTTGCAGTTGCAGATGAAGCGGGATGGTTCACCAGAGTTGACCAACTCGCCGAAGAGCATGCAGCTGTGAAGAAGGAGGCACTCTTGAACCAGCCGGTGCTACATGTGAGGCAGGCCTGGACACTGGAAAAATCAGGGTCCCCGTAACCGATCGCTTGTACACAATAAAACTTTAGAGCACTCCTCATTTCCTGGGTGGGTCGCGATTAGCGCACTGACACAAGCTACCGTACAAGCCGTTGTCGAGGTAGACGGGAAAAAGGAGTTATGTTTGATTGATGCCGGAGCAGGCGTATCGCTGAGACATAAAGGGAACCAAGCTGAACACAAACCGTGCGCGCTAGCCGTGAGAGCTGTTGGCGGATATCGATTGAAGATTGACGGACTGTCAACACACTCGATA